GTGAAGCGCGTGGCAGCAGGCGTCCTGTGCGAGCTGGCAGTGGACAAACCATCAGCTGAGCTCATCGACGCCGAGGGCGCTTCGGCTCCACTGATGGAGCTGCTGCACTCCAACAACGAGGGCATTGGTAAAACATGCACATAATGCACTGTAATTAGCTTACTGTAACGTAGCATTTAGTCATAGATGGAAAATAACAAAGTCGATTTACTCAAGTGCTGTGCTTACTGTAAGTGCAGTTTCCAGGCACTTGCACAAGTCCATTTTGCGAGTCATTATACTTTTCTACGCATTCCATAATGAAATGTTGCAAACTACATTTTAAGAATACACAATAATGGAAACATTGTTGTGTGAAATTCTGTTTTCTTGTTGTTAGGTTCTGTCTTTATTGTAGATGCTACAGAAACACCAGCTTGTTGTCCTGGTTAATTCAGTTTAACAAACAAGAAGATATAACATGCTAATATGTACACTTTAGCACTGCAGGTACTCATATTTTGGGCTGTTTTATTCTGTTTTCTTGTTGTTGTTTTTTAAATCCCGTTTCCATTTTATTTCATGCTGACGCAGGTTAACTGGCTGTAGCTCAGGGGTGGGCAATCTCAGTCCACGAGGGCTGGTGTCCCTGCAGGTTTTAGATCTCACCTTGGGTCAATACACCTGAATCACATGATTAGTTCGTTACCAGGCCTCTGGAGAACTTCAGGACATGTTGAGGAGCTAATTTGGCCATTTAAATCAGCTGTGTTGGTTCGAGAACACATCTAAAACCTGCAGGACACCGGCCCTCGTGGACTGAGATTGCCCACCCCTGCTGTAGCTCTTGCAGATACAACAGTCTGTCACTATAATTACATTGTTAAGGAGGAAAAAGCCCAAATGAACCAAATGAAGTATAATAAGCCTTAAATAAACAGGATGTAGCTGCACATTTCTTTATCAGGAATGACTTCAGGTAGGAAGGATTTCACACCAAAAAAAATAAAATGCATTTTTTTGTCTTATATGCTCTCTGTTATACTTGTAAACTCTAAAACGTTGAGCTCTAGATGTTTAAAAAGGCCACGCTTACTCATAGATCAACCACTGTAAATCGCACTGTTGGTCATTTTATTTTGCACCAATGTGCTGAAGCTCAAAGTAAAGGACATTCTGTTCCAGATATTAAGCTTTCAAAGTTTATTAACTAACGCTGACCCCGACCACTGACTGTTTTCTTATTCTTTCCCCTCCAGCTACTTACGCCGCAGCCGTCCTCTTCCGCATCTCCGAGGATAAGAACTCAGACTACAGGAAGCGAGTGTCTGTGGAGCTCACACACTCTCTGTTCAAAAACGATCCGGCTGCCTGGGAGATGGTGAGTGGGTGTGGCCCCCTCTGATGCACCAACACGACAGCTGAAGATTAATGAAGATTCTCGTAGACTTGTTTATTCACGTCGGTTGTTTCTGTGTCAAATACATCTTGGCATTTTTGTTGAATGGTTTAATTTAATTTGACCTTTGCCCTCTCATGACTTATCTGCAGGCCCACAACACAGCTGTCATGGAGGGACCCTATCCAGATGGTGAGTAACTGTGGCTGAAATGTGCACATACAGCACATTCCTCAGCAGTGGGTCACTACACCACGGAGAGCAGCCGCAGCATGAAAGCGCAATAATTTGTTAGCAGGTTGCCTCCCTGCTGCTGCTTACAAACTACTTTCATTATTTGGCAGCTATAAGAATGAGCTCATCACAAAGCTCAGCACAAAAAACAAATGGCTACTTATTTTTCATGTAAAGTAAAAATTTTAATTCAAACTTAAAAGAAAGTAGCACAGTCTTGAGATTCGCATGAACCGTCAGTTATATCTTCTTAAATTAATTTTAAACTTGCTTTTTTTATCAATTCTTTCCATCTGTGCTTTGTTAGTTATATAATTTTTCCCCAATCAAGGTGTATTATACCAGAATCTAAGAAAATCTAAAACGAATACATTGAAAACAACATTGTGTTTGTTTGTTTCTGTGTTTGATTTCCTGATACATCATTTCCTTTTCATTATTATCAAGTTAAGGTCTTCCTCTCGCCCCCATTGTGGTGTTTCTTCATTATCTATGTTTGCATCTTCGTCCAATCCTTTCCTTTACTTGCCTTTTTTCCTTTTATGGTTTTGGTATTTTGTTTCTTACTCTGATCCAACTAAGTAAAAAAAATAAAATAAAAAATCTTTTTTTTTTCTCCCTCAGTTTGATCCCAGTAATCCAGAAATGTGCCTTAATATAATAATTACACATCTTGGTTTGCAGAGCTAGATGCTGGTTTCCAAGGATACGGATATCCAGGTGACATGCCCATGGACAGCATGGATGGAAATATGATGCATGACGAATACGCAGCCAGTTTGCCCTACGAAAGACAACAGTACCCACCTGACCATTATTAAGGTCAGTAGATGCTAATGTTACTTCAGCCAGTCATCTTACTTTATTTAGACTCAGCTGATCGGGACTGTGTGAGAAATAATGCCATTTGTTTGTGTGTGTGCACAAAGTCCAAGCTTCAAAAGCATAATCTTGAACTTGTATAAGTAAAAGATCAAATTCTTATGTTCTCTGGGGTTTCTTAAAAACACAGAAGAAACACTTAAATGCCTTTTACAGCGTGTAGAATTTATCTCTGTACTTTTTTGAAATGTTATTTTCTTGTTATATATTGTGATCAGCCACAATATTTAAACCACTTGTGTGATATCCACTGTATAAGATCCTGTGGGAGTGTCCTGTAGTGTCTAACAGTGGGTCATTGACAGCGGATGATTTGGATGTTGGGAATTGTGAGGCGGCTTCTCTGTGCAGCCTGAAATTATCAGTAAAAATTAGATTCTTGGGAATTTGGCGATTGGGTAAACATCTTAAGCCATTTCTGTGGGTGTTGCGAGGCGTGTCATCCACATTAATACCGTGACCTAGCGTTTCCCAGCAGAACATTAAATTATAAAGAGATGATCAATGCCATTGACTTCACTTATCAGTGGTTTTAATGTAGTGTACTAATGCACTTTAAAAGCACTGCAGCCTGTACCTCTGAAATGCTTTAACAGCAAAATGTTATCACCCTTTTTCAAATAAAGTCCTGCTCATTTCAGAGCAAGGAAAAAAGATAAAAACACTTTTTTGTTTTTGTGAAATAATAACTTTCTTTTTTTAAATTTTATTCTTTCAGGGGAAAGAAGCAGATGAGGAGGAGGCAGCAAAGAGCTGATTTAGGATGTAACGGGACACAGAAGAGTAGAACGTGGTCATCACGAAAGGTCTTTTTCCTCTGCTCGCCACCTGATGTAATATATACAATTATTGCCGAGTATGGGACTCATAATCTTAACAGGGCTCAACTTTGTTTTATAGCATAATTTTGCAGATTATAATTTTGACATTGATGCTTGTAGTTTGTTTTTGTTTTTTTTGTTTTTTTAAGAACCTTCTAAGAGTGAGTGCATGAGTGTGCGTGGTTGTTTACGCTTTTGGGTGGGTATTCTATGCCAAAGAGATTTTATTTTGTGATGATAATCGTAGCTTTTTCTTTTTTTAAGAAAAGAAAGAAAAAGAGAATAATAGTTGAAAACACTGCCAGAGGTGGCTCAGCGTGCACAGTGCACCAACTCACCAACTCCGCTTAACGCCTTTGTAAGACACATTTCTGACTTTGCTGTAGTTTTGGCTCTATATACTGTCAGTTTTCTCACACCGTGGCCCAAGAGTCAGCGAAGAGCTGGTTAACGCTCCTTTCATGTGTCACAAAATTTAGTAGACGTGAGCAAATGGGGAGAAGCGGAGATACTCGAGCTAACACTGTACAGCTGCTCCCTTCTCTTCTGTAATCATCTGATGCGTTTTATTTGGACTGTAGTTGATCAGTACGGTTGCTTTATTTGTTTGTTTGTTTTCAAGAGTCATCTTCAACTTTTATAAGTTATTTACTGGGAAAGTTTCACATTATGCACAATTACCAGAAAATAAGGAAAGAGATGCCTTTGATTTTAAAATGAATTTAGAGAGGAAATCATATGTAGCCACTGAAAAAAACCCTCATTTACATACTTGTGCAACAGATTTGTCCAACTCCGTAGTAAACACATGAGATAATACAGCTGTGGTTAAAAAACAAAAACAAAACTACTGACAGGGAAATTTGTCTTTCTACTTATTAAGAGTTTTTACTTAAATTTTGTTTAATAAAAATAAAGGATATATATTCGAAATGTTCTTGTGTTCATGTTTATTGAGTTATAAATCAGAAATGTGCTTTTTCTTGTTTTCTGTACATCCATTTTCTTACGCTTATCATTTGGGTGCAACCCAGTACGAGCATGGTACATCTAATAGTTGTCTGCTGGGTTTATATCGTCTGTTTAGGCAACACTCAGTTGAACAATTTCTGATTATACACCTGCTATTTTCTTTTTGTTTTTTCTAAGCAAGTTCTTTATTACTCTTGTCATTAGTAGTCTGATTCAAAGGCAAAAATGGTTTCATTGGCTACACTGCTTTCAGTTTGAAAATAGACATTTCTCTACAAAAAAAGTCATTTAATTGTGTTTCCAATTTATGAGGTAAAAGAAACATTTCCTGCTGCTGAAGCTTTAAAGATCCTCTCGGAGCCAAATTAGTGCTGAAGGTGTTCAAGTAAGAGACGACTGCAACATCGGTGGAGAGGACGTATTGTTTGTCATATGTTTTTATCATCACCCTGAAAAAAATCAACAAGTTGAAACACATTACAAATAAAATATAAATGAAGTGTTGCTGAACTTGCTCCATGCACCTTGTTTGCAGATGAAGTCGTGCCAGGAACTTCTTAAAAGCTCGGCTCTCATTACATTCTGCTGCATGAATGTAATGCACATCATAATCTGGACAGGTGACACCCTCTTAAGCACTGTTTCAGCACTTTTTAAAAAAAAAAAAACAAGTAATCCGAGCCAGACCCATCAATCATATTTCAGTAGTTTAATGAGTTTTGCTTTTGCATAGCAACTGTGTGATTTTTAGTTTCCTCCTCACCATCGTTACTATGCCCATATAGAAAATATATTAACACTTTCATTAAACTATTCAATGAAAACAGATACATCATGCACACAATATGCACAATTATAATAAATGTGAGTGGTGAGCTCTATAAGAACACAGAGAACAGATAAGAACTGATAATATGTAAGATTATTGCTTTGATTTCAAACTTAAAGCTATCCTCTGTTATAGGACAAGAGTGATTAGAGAGAGTGTGTGATACTTTACAACATTTAAGAGTTATTCCATTTGTTCCACGTCTGTATAACCGGTGCCTCTGTCTCACTTTAGTGTGTAAACACATGCAATAGAGAAATATTGTAATAGTCATAATTTAGAAAGAACGTCATCAAATTTTAAAATCGCAGCTGCTTGTGCATATCTGCTGCTTTCTTGAGGAAACTGTTCATTAGCACTTCTTGTTTTCGTCAGACTGCAACCTGGCGTGCCTTTAACGCTTTCATTCGTATGTGTAGTATAAAAAATAAAATCTCACATTTCCCACAAGTCAAGTAATTTTGCATCAACACTTGACTCATTCTGCTCAGTCTATTCATTAAAAGTATTTTAGAAAATGTGTGTTTGGGGTCGGTATCTTTAGGTCACTGCTACTTGAACCTTGGACCGCTGTCGAAGCTCAGAAAATTCATCCACGCTGGCGATGAGCTGCATTTGAGCCGAGAGCTCCAAACAGGTGGGAAATCTGTTTTCTGTCTATGTCCACCAATGCTTAGATCACATTATCAAACATGTGCATGGACTGCATGATGTTCCCATCCTGAAAAAGAAAAAAGAATTCTGTATTTTCAGCAGCTGTGGATGTGTAGCTGCACTGCTGTTTGAAACGGATATTATTATTAACCTTCTGACACGTCTCAAGGAACTCATCCATCGTGACCACTCCATCGTTGTTCTTGTCCATTTTCTGGAAAAATGCAACAAGTTACAAATGATGATTTAACTTTTAAGTAACTAAATGACTTCATTCATGACCCCAGTCATAAATGAGGGGATGTGCAGATGTGACATTTGTAATTATAAAATCTACCTCTCTTACAACTTTTCACAGTTTTTACAGGCTCTGACCCATTTGTGCTGAAAAAAATAATGGAAAGTTCTGTGACATAATTAATAACAGCCAACCTTGTTACGGTCTATCATGACCCTATATTTAACCGAATAAATATAGCAATATGGCAAACACAAATAGGAACATTAACTATGAAAGTTTAAAATGTATTGACCTCATTCTCCAAGTTTAGTTTTACCAGGTGCTAAAAGTTCTTTCACATATTTGCAAAATCCTTTAAAACCTGCATTGTTTGCATTTGTGTTTGTGAGCCAACTAGACATTTCTGGAAATGCTCCAGTCTTGCAGGACAAAAATTATTTTACCAGATGACACAAAAAACAGGGATTGGCCTAAAAAAATCTATGTTCTATAGTAACTCTAGGGGGTAGCTTAAGTAGCCCAAACATCATAGCTCAGGCTTTCTCAGTTGGTGTGAAGTCCATTCTACCTCGTTGCCTTTGAAAAACCAGTCCACATTTCAAAGGGACTCAGAAACAGTAATGGAAGCTGGGGCTGCCACTATGAATCATCAATGAATTCCTTTCAGCAGGTCCTCCCATAATCATTGACGTCAGGGTTTTTTGTTGGGTTTTTTTGCAGCTTTCTGGCACTGCCAACCGCCCATTTTCAGTGGAAGTCCATGGAACATGTTCTAGTTTAATCACCACTACCAAATTGCTGGAAAGGTGGATTCCTGCTTATTTATGTTGTGCACAGGAATGAAGATACGCCTTCACCTGCCATTACTCACATGCAGGCAGGTGACACCATGCTTCCCAGTAATCGAGAGTGGGCTGTAACTTGGTAAGATTTACAGCAATCTATTGAAAATAGTTCTGGTTTTATTAGATCTGAGTTAAGCTTTTGAAAATGTGGATCACACAGTCTTATTAAATAAGTCTCATCAGGCAGTGGGTGTGTCTGGATCAGCATTAGACTGGGTAAATGCTGCCTCATAGACAAAAGTTTTTTTGTTACTATCATCGGTTTAAACCCAGAAACGGCTGCCTCGAGATGTGTTGTTCCACAGGGATCTGTTTTCTGAGCTATACTGTTTAGCTTCAAATTTTTTGCCTTTTGGACGATTATTCATCATTTAAAAGCCCAATTTAGAAATAAAACATGTCTTTAAGTTGGGTTATTTTTGTGTGTATGAAGCAGAGCAAAAGCAAAATATTCAAATTCGTAGATATCCACTCTCTGACGAAGCTGGCTGTTTAACCCACAGCTCCACATTTACACTAATGGGCACAACAGTGACACAGTAGATAAAGTAAATGCTTTACCCATCACTTTCAGTACATTCTGACTCACTTTGAGTTCAGTGTTGTAGATGTGTGACGCGTGATCTGATTATTTGTGAGTTTTTACCTGAAAGAAGCTGTCAACATGCTCTTTCGGTGCACTATCTTTCATGTGGGGGTATGTATACTTCCCCATCATGTCATAGATGGAGTGCATTATTTCTGTCATCTCCTGGAAGAACAGACAGAAGAAAAAAAAATATGAAAAAGACATGAGCTGCCAATGTAATAAAAAGAAGAAAAAAAAACAGGCAGTGATTGGTTGGTTTACCTCTCTGGTGATGCAGCCGTCCTTGTTGATATCATACAGATTAAAGGCCCAGTTGAGTTTATCAGTGATGGAGCCTCTCAGGATGATGGACAGACTTATAACAAAGTCCTACAGCAGGGAAAGAAAACAGGCACTAAAAGTGAAGACCACAATAAAGACGAAAAAGGCACAGACAAAACTTTGCAGTATTTGCTGCATTGATACTATGTTTTATGTTTTTTCAGTTCCAACCCTGTGTTACTGACACCCACAGAGTTTCACCAACTGAGTGAAATCATTTTAAAAAGTAATGAGATTTATACAAGATGTGCACCAAGAACAAAGCTTTATGCTGCTTTCTTCCAAACTCTAAGAAAAAGTATAATCAAACTACACAGCATAGATAAAGAAAAGGACAGTAAAGAAGATGAAAAAGGAAAAGGGAAAACATCTCTGTGAGCTGCAGGGAATGAAAGGAGGCTTTGAGGTGTGTATCTAACCTCAAAGTTGACCGAGCCATTGTTCTGTGTGTCAAAGGCTTCAAACAAGAAATGCGCATACATACTTGAATCTGCAAAAGAGAATATAAGAAAGCAAGTTACTGTAACTGTGCAGCAGTCACGTCAATGATTTTGTGTAATGACAGCCTAAACTGACAGAAACAGAAAAATATTAGAGACATTAAAGATGTGGACAGGTAATTAAATGTGCATCAGTTAAGAGGTAATAGTGTTTTGAACTGTGCTGCTCAGTTGTGGGTTGTTTATCGCACTTTGTAAACGTGCAAAAACATGCAAATGCATTTTATCTATGCACAAATTATATCAAGCACAGATGCACAAAAAGTCTGATTTTAAAATGATTTAATATATGACTGCAGATTCAGTTAAAGCCAGATAAACACATTTAACAAGTATACAAGCACTGTGCAAAAGTCTTGAGCCACCCATCGTATATATAGATGTAGCAAGTTTTTTAAAAACATGTGCAAACATACCTGGAAGTACAGTGTATGAGACAAAAACAGAGTTTGTGCAATTCTAACCGAAAGTCAGTATTTGGTATGACCTTCAACGCAGTCTGAACTCTCCCAGGCAAGCTTTCCTGTAATTGCATTAGTCTTCAGAAATAGTTCCCCAGGCTTTGTGAAGGACTTTCAAAGCTCTTCTGTGGACGTTGGCTGCCTTTTGTTCTGTTCTCTGTCATGACGATCCCACACTTCTTCAGCAATGCCGTGGTCCGTGCTCTGGGGAGGTCAATCAATGACTGATTGTGTTCCATTGTCTGTTTTTCTATTCAGGTAAGCTTTCACAGCACTGGCGGTGTGTTTGGGATCATTGTCATTGTGAAGAATGAAGCTGTTGCCAAGCAGATGCTTTCCAGATGATGGATCAAAATAATTCATAATTCCATAAATTTTGACAAGATCCTCAATAACACTGACTGAAATGCAGCCCCAAACTATGACAGAGCCTCCAGTGTTTTACAGAGAGCTTTAGACAGTCACTGTTGTACCTCTCTCCTGTCCTCTTCTGTACATACTTACTACATTCTGAACCCAAATTTTCACATTTTAGTCCAGTTCTTGTGTAATTTGGACTACCTCAGCCTTTTTTCCCTGTATCACTTCCTCAAGAATGGCTTCTTCACATGCACCCTTTCTGATGAAGGTTTGAACAGTATAACGATCAGCAGAAGGGCCAGATGCATCTCTCAGGTCCTGTTTCAGGTCTTTGCTTGATTTTCAGAAAGTGTTCATGTGCTGTAGATTTTTTAAACCAGTCATTTCCAGTCAGCCATCCTTCATGGTTTTAACAAAAAATTGTTCATAGGTCAATGTTAAGTAGCTTTCCTCTGTAAATGCTCAGGACTGAAAAGGAATGAAAATGCAGCTAAAAGCTTTGAAAGACCTTCAAAAAACCTGGAGAACTATTGCTGAAGACTGTCAGGGACCTGGATCTGAGGGGCCCAGGGTCCATGAGCAGTGTGGACTCATTATATGTGTTTTTGCTGCACTGTGCTGCTGTTCCTGTGCTTCCATGCTTGTATGTAGAGGCCGGTGTGTGTGGGTGCGGCTGGTCCGATAGGCCAGGTGACAGGCACCTTCAGGCCTGGTGGGTGTGGCCCTGCCAGGTGGCTGGCCACGCTTGAAGATCATGCCACGCACCTGCAGCTGATCAGCCTCGTCGGGGGAGCTATTTAAGAGTGTGATTGCGTTCTGTTGCGTGAAACTCCATGTCAGTTTTCCTAGTGACCCAAGTTTAGTGAGTGTATTAAAGTTGTAGTGCTGTAGTTAAGTGTCCTGACGGCTGCCTCTGTTATTTCCCCCCAGGAGGAGCGTGGAAAACAAGAGGGCAGTGAGGACGGGTTGTGCGGACACATGGGAGCGGAGAACACCGAGCACGGTTTTTGGGAAGAAGACATGGCACGGGAGTCAGGGGAGCGCACGGGGATTTATTATGTAATATTTACATCACTGTAAATAAACGCACTACATTCATCGCACAAGAGTCCTGCGTTTGGGTCCTCCCTCCCCTCATCCCCATGGTCTCCCATTGCAGACTGTGACAAAAGCTTGACCGCTTAAAAAAACATTAATAGTCTGGTGCCTTGGAAGCAAAACATGAGAGGTGGTTCAAGACTTTTGCACAGTATTGTGTATAATTTGACCCTGCTTTTAAAGATGAAAGAAGTGTTTATAACCACAAATGTGTATGTTATTTGTCACTGTCATAGTAAAGCAAAGCTGAAAGTATTATAATTTAAATACATATTTGAATTGAACGCACCTAACCAGTTCAATCCTCAGTGAACACATTGAAGACACATGAGACAGAACATTTCCTCCTACCTAGCTCCTTAGAAAAAACGAATAAAATGTAAAACATGGGATAAAAGGAAGTGAGTGTGACTGACCTCCCTGAGGGAAGAACTGGGAGTAGATGCTTTTAAACGTCTCCTCATTCACCACACCACTCGGACACTCCTGTGGAAATTATAAAATTATTACGTGGACCAAAAAAAACCCTTCACACAAACTTTCCAATGCACATAAATAGCACAGTAGAGCCGCATCATAATTGATGGTTTGCAAGTATTGCGCATTCATTGCAAGAGGAATGATCAATGATTTCCAGGAAACGTTGACTGACATTTTTGAATCCCCGGTAGAGGACCTGCAGCTCTTTTTTGCTGAATTTGGTCTGCTGTACAAGACGGTCAAGGCCCTCAGGTCTGTAACACACTGTCGATAGTTCACCATCTTCAACTATGCTCCCTGCATCGGAGGAATGAAGACAGAAAGGAAACAGTTTCTCTTTGAGCGTCCCTGAAATGACGGAAACTTTAGAGAGGAAAAGGCAAAGAGACTAAAAGAGTAAAAATCAATGTTTTGTTTGTGTTTAATTTAATTGATGTGGTGTGACAAAGTGCGTGTCCTAACACTTGCTTTGATCAACTGAAGAGCTGGAGCCAGAACGACAGCAGGGCAGCAGTTTGAGGAAGCGCTGCTTTAAGGTCTTTTTATTGGGTTTGGATGGAGGATTACCTGGAAAGAACCAGATCAGACCAGAGATTAGAAGCAGACTCAGTGGCCCACAAAGTCAGCGCCATGCTAAATGGATAAAACACTGGGCAAACTAGACTCAAATACTTGAAATCACTTGTCTTGCATAGAAATAAGTTTGCTGACCTGGCTTTGAATCTGTGTGACCCATTACATCTGTTGGGACAGGACCCAGCAGAGTCGAGTCTCAAGTCCGAGCTCCTCTAAGATACAGAAATCAGCTGACAGATTCCTAAATTTTTAACATTATTTAATCTAATTTCTCTTTAGATATGAAAAGAAGTTTGTGTCATTATTTATTTAACTATAAGGTCTCTTTAAATATAAATTAACTGGTTTTTGGAGTCAGCAAACACAGCAACGGATTATCTGTAATACTAACACAGCGCTGCAAGCATTGCTGACAGTGTGGTAAGCATTTAAATAATATAGCACTTTTCTACCTGAGCACTCAAAATGCTTTATACAACATAACATTCACACACAGATTCATACAAGCACCTTTTTCCTTTGTGTAAGTGCTTTCTATCTAATGTTGTTCACACACTGATGGATGCATCAGGAACAACTCAGGGTTCAGTATCTTGCTCAAGGGTACTTTGGCATACAGACTGGAGCAACCGGGGATCAAACCACCAACCTTCAAACTGTAGATAACCCATCCTGCCACCGCAACCCTAAAAACTGAACGGCAATGCTGCCATAATGTTTAGCATGTTTACTGTTTGAGTTTAACATGTTAGAATGCTAACTTTTGTTAACTGTTACTAAAACAAAATAGCCAATAGAAATCTTGGGCAAATTCAAATTGTGATGGTGCTGCTAGGTGAAAACTCAGAGAACAACCAAATTCTTTATGGTTTCAAAAAGCTATCTTCTTCATTATCTTTTAAAACCTCCATATTTTTGACTAACTCATTAAAAAGCTGTAGCATTAATTTAGACACATTTACCCAAAGTGTGATGTTCCTGTACCGGTGGACCTAAAATAATGCCGGGTGAAGTCAAAGATATCAGAACTACAGAAATCACACAACAGGGTGCTAAGAGAGGAACTGTGCTACTGCACGAGGTACTCCATGTAAGAGCACAGCGAGACAGTGGTGGGGTCACAGTAGGAATGACAGGATTGGGATTATATCAGGGTTCAGCTACAGGGACGTGCAGAGGGGGGGGCTAGAGGGGCTTGAGCACCCGCCCCTTTCCTGATGAGTGCCCAAAGTGCCCTTTTGTTGAGGCAACTTTTA